TACTGAAAAATATATATAGAGAATCATTTTGAGAAATGCCCTATAAAGGTGCATTAATAGTTGCTGAATTTAGCTGTAATTGATATAAAATCATAGCAGCTAATATGCAAAACAGCTCGAACTCGGAACACCGCTGGGGAGGAACACTATTGTTGGGGGGCGGGAAAGTGAGAGGGGAGGGGCAGAAAAGCCGATTAAAGAGACAGAGAAGGGAGGAAAGGGGCAAAAGGGGGGCGGGGTCATCTGGCTCCGCCCCTTCCCCGAGTTGACTCGAAAAGATGGATGGGGGTGGAGGGGAGAGGATGCCGATATACCTCCTAGATTAGCATGCAAACCCCACACAATCGCCGAGATTTTGGGCAGAGATTGCGGTAGAAAATGGTTACTGGTTGTGGTGGGCGAAACTTTTGGGATTGGCGCTAGAGAGACCAAACCAAAAGCAGATGATAACAGGAAAATAACTAGCAATCGGAGGGAAACTGGCGAACGTGAACGAGAGGAAAAGGTAAAATTCCAACAGCCAAAAATTTGAAGCCACAATCCCGACAGTCCAAATCGCGCCCTGCAAAATGGTTGTGGTGATTCAATTTAACGTCAAAAACTTTTCCTTGTCGGCATTTTGACTGTCGGCATTTCGGCTGTCGGGATTTCGCATGTCCGGATTATGGCTGTAGGGATTTTGGTTGTCGGTATTTTGCTTGACGGAATTTTTAACAACCCAAGCCGACGAGTTTCAATGAACTTAATGAATTTAAATGAATTAATTACGTATAAAATGCCTAAATCAATAGCTTTATTAGATATGAAAATAAGATAAAACATAAATGAATGGAAATTATAAATATGAATGACAGAAAACATAATAAAAATGAAAAATACAATAAACCAGAAAAAATAATATATTGGCACCTTTAAAACTCACCTACCATTTACAACCCCACGTATTTAGGCCCAAATTGTAAATGTGCCACTATTCCCTTCTTTGCTATAAGAGGTCAATCCCCGATCAAGATTTGCAACCCGAATTCCCCCTCCCCAAGATCATGACTGCCCTCGCCGGGGTTGTAAAATCCCGGGGAAATCGTCATCTTATCAATTCTATTCCCTGTCCCCCTCTTTTCCTTTATATTCCATAGCCCCGGGCCATCTTTCCTTCAGTTCCCTTTCCCCTAGAGGACTCCTCCCCCACCCCGTCGGATTCCCAGAATTTATGGGCCCCCGATTTATGGCATGTTGCATGCTAATTTTGGGTGGTCTTGCAAAAGGGGGGTCTAGTCTACCGGGTTATTGTGGGAAAATCGGGAAAGAATGCAACTCTTCCTCGTACGGTAATGCCAAAATACCGACATCCGAAATCCATATAGCTAAAATACTGACTTCCGAAACACCGACAGGCCAAAATACCGACAGCGAAAAGTTAAAAAGCCAAAATCCCGCTCGAGGACTAACATAACAAAACAAAGAAACAGGGCAAAATATCGACAGCCAGAATACCGACAATTCGAATAAGATAAATTTAATCAAAAAAATGACCGAAAATAATTTGTAAGCTATTCAGTCGTGACGCACACGCGACGCAAATCAAAAGCTACGTCAAGCTCCGCCGGAAAGTCGACAGATGTTTCTTTATTGGCTAGCCTGTTTCAAGCACAAGATCCAGATGTGCTTACGCTCCGAAATGACGAAAAGTCGGGCTTATGCTTGACATCCGGCACGTTTCGTTTTTGTTTCCGGAAAATGAAAGAGAGAGCGAGAGAGATAGAGAGACAAAGCGAGGGACATTGAGAACCAGAAATGCGCCACACACGTGTCCCGGATAAAACGGAAGAGCGAGGGGGTATCTACCGCATGGAGCCGCACAGAAATCCGGGGAGCTCGAGGAAATTTACTGCGATCTGAGCACCAGATGTGAAGAAGGAGGGGAGGACACCGCCAAGAGGGGAGCACCGAAGATCCGATCACAAGGTGTGGAAAAGGTAGGGCTAGCCACCTCGATTTTGGGGTGTAACACATTTACTTTCACTAGATAAGCATCAGATGGACCTCATTTTAGGACTCTTTGAAAGTCTGAGCCTGAGCCTAATGCTAAGCGTAATAAGCAACAAATTATTATTAAGATGTCGTCACTCTTAAATGAGTTAATATACATATGAATAGAGAGAGGCCTAAAAATAAGGTTAGACCTGAACCTAAGCCTAAGCCTAACAAGCTTAAGCCTAAGTCTATGCGTAAGCGAAAGCCTAACCTAATCCCGACCCATGCCCAAAGCCCAAGCCTAAACCTAAGCCTAAGCCTAAGCCTAAGCCTAAGCCTAAGCCTAAGCCTAAACCTAAGCCTAAGCCCAAGCCTAAGCCTAAGCCTAAGCCTAAGCCCAAGCCTAAACCAATAGGCCTATTTTTTTACTCAATCTTCTAAACGTAAATTCAGTACCTCTTCGCACTACTAATACCTACAAAACCGGAAGCGAAACCAAATTCCCCCCGTCAAATCCATCAAAAAACCAATCTAACCCCCCGCACCCCATAAATGACCCTATTTCAGCGTGTAAATAAATTGTGCATGGGAATGTGTGGGGAGAAGCCGAATCTTTTCCTATCCTAGAGCTTCTCCTCTTCCTCTCCTCCTCCTCCTTCTGCTCCTCGTCCTCCAGGAGCTCCACGCGAATTGGGTGCCAAATTTGAAAGCGAAGAGGGAAGAGAGGGGGATAAAGAGGGGGAGGAGAAGCTCAGCAAATGGAGAGCGAAACTTCTTTTTCAGGAAGGGAGGCTCAAAATGGGGCTCCAGGGGTTTTTTTCTGCGTGCGGGAACGGAAGTTTGAATGGAGGGGATATGGCCTGGGGTATTCAGAAGGTTTTGCAGCCAATTTGGATACATCTATCCTTCTCTCTCTCTATCTCTCTCTCTCTAAAATTTTATACGTGTTGCCTTGGTTTTTTGGAAAACAAATATTGCCAACCCCCAAAGCATCCCATAACCCGAGGGCAAATACCTTCCCATTCCCTTTAGAAATGTCTCGCTCGCCCTCTCTCTCTCTCCCCTTCCGGAATTCCTCCTCCCATTTCCGAGAATAATAAAATGCCCTTATCAAAATGATTCCCGGGAGGGAGAAGCCAGTGGCTGTATGCAAATATGGGCATTGTCAAGGGGGAAGGGCTTCTCCCCCAGCCATCTCACACATAATTGGCCGCTCGTGTGAGGTGTGGCGCAAGGTGTTAATGCCGTATACGGAGACATGGTGCGGAAGTGGAACTGTATGGGAAAATGGGAAGAGTGAGAGAGAGCGAGAGAGAGCGAAAGACAGCGAGAGAAAAACTAAATGTTATCCTAAACCCATTCAACGAATAACACTACCCAACCCCACAAGACAGCCAATATTATTATAGCTAACCCGAGAGAAGGTATGAATATCGTTTTGCCAGCCCGACCATGGCTAATCTATTCTATCCATTTCCCTAAAATGCCCCGAAAAACGCGGTGTCACCCCGGCCAACAACCCCCCGACACCACCGACGAATTTTTGATTTTCACCCGCCCGCCGGCCGCGATTTCTATTCGGGACCGATGATTGAATACGACGTGGAATCGGAGCGGTTTGTATATGCTTATTACGCTTTTATTATCAGGTAAAATTAATTTCATTCAAAACATGAAAAGTCTGGATCTTGCATGACATCCAGCACGTTTCTTCTTTGCCGGGCAGCGGAAGAGCGAACGAGAGAGAGCGGGCGAGATAGAGAGAGAGAGAGAGAGAGAGAGAGAGAGAGAGAGAGAGTAGGAATCAAAAATTAAAAACCCGGACTTACTCGATTTATAATCCACAAAATAGTCATCATAGGCCTCATTGGAGGATGGCGGTGGATCGGACGTCTTTGTCGACAATGTCATCCTAAATTATATGTTTTTTTTGGAAGAAATGGAGTTAAAAATAACAAAAATATCGTTATTTTGCGGCGCAGAAAATCGGCCCGTCGAAAAAGGGGGAGACCTGGCTAATCTGCCGTGACAAATCCTATCGACCACACAAAAGGGAGGACGGGGAATTCAGATACAACTGATTTTAGGGCTGGAAAAATGGCTTTCTCTTTCTCTTTCTCTCTCTCTCTCTCTCTCTCTCTCTCTCTCTGTCTGTCTACCTCTTTGTCTCTCGATAAACTGACGAATTAGAAAGTATATTTGCAGTAAAAAAAAACAAATAGAAGTTCCTAGAAAATACTACCCACATCTTCTGGGGGTCGAAGGGCGGCTTTTTCCGAGCTTCAACCCTTCTTTCTCCAGTCCGGGGGTCAGTTGGAGGAAATTTAATTGTGAGGGGACGGGAAGCTCTGTTACATGCCAGATTAGGGGAGAAGAGAGAGAGAGGGTGAGTGAGATATAGAGAGAGACAGACAGACAGAGAGAGAAAATATAGAATCCTTCAGGAAACATCCTGCGGCGATCGAAGCTTTCATTAGTGCGCGGAATGATCGGCTCATTGCCATATATGTGAGGGCTTTGGAGCAAGCTAAAGCCTAAGTTTCAGCCTAGCCTCGGTCTAAACCCAAGCCAAGCCTACGTGATGTTCTTCGGCCCCTAAGAATCTCTGCTCATCTCTGGCGCTTAGATGATCGACGCTAGCCCACTCTGACGGTTCAACAAATGGTGATAGACTCTCCTAATAAAGTTTTTTTTTACAAAAACAAACAAAGCTAAAGAAAAAGAAGCTACGTAATAACGTGAACAATATGCACGAATGTTATGCTATGCTATTTGGGGTGTGTGGTGTATGTTGAGGGATTTGTGTGTATGGAAGGAGCCGAGAAGGTGATAGATGGGCCGATGGAGGGGCCTTAGGTCCCAGATGGAGAGAGAGAGCGTGATAGCGAGAGAGAGCGAGACTGAGAGAGAGCATGGCTGAAAGTTGGGCCCACATCCAATCTATTGACAACGATAGATCAGATTGACACGATGGGATGGTCCCACCTTGAAAGGGATACGGTGTTGTACCGGGCAATTGGGTCCCG